CCCACCCTATTCCTGGTGAATCCTCTCACCCTCCGCATCTCTGGCCTGTACCCCAGTTCTGTATGAATAAATAAATAAATCTTAAAAAAAAATTAAAAAATAAAAAAAAACATTTTTCTGTGCTGCAGATTTTATGTACAGTTGGCAGTTACTAAGTGGAGATTCACAGATGATAGATAAATCTGTTTCTAGGAAGAAATAGTCCTCACCAAAATAAAGGGAGGCATATTTCCTGTACATCAGACCAGTAGGCAGAACTTCAAAAGGATGTAGATCTCTGTTCTTCCTCCCACTTGGAAAACATAAAAATTGAAGTTACTTCAAAACATCCTATTTTCAGAGTTACCTTGTGTTGCATGGAAAAGAGTCACGGGGGGAAAAGCACAAGGTAGCATTAAAACCACTGAAAAACAGATAAAGAAGATTCCTAATGCCAACTACTATCGATATGAGTTGTCTAAAAATCAAATCTCTCTTCCACTTATGAAACAGTAACATAAAACTTGGCTACTGCTCAAGAAATAGTATAGACGGATGATGATTATAGATCAGTGAGCACTAAGTATGAGCTTTAATCTTGAATATCGCTCTCTTTTTTTTACAATTCACTTATTTATACGTACAAGAAATGGGGTACAGACCAGAGGCTGGGGCAGGTGAGAAGACTCACCAGAGACAGACTGCTGAGCAGAACAGGCAGATCGACCAAAACACACTGATGATGGGAGCAGCGGGCAAGACAGGAGTGGTCTGCTGCGCCCGGTGTGTCACCTCTTCTGCCAGGGATGACTGCTGCTGCAGTGGCTGTGGACAGCTCCACAGTGCTCTGGGTAACCCCCTGCGCCGCCAGGGAGGTCCTAATCTCAAGTCTTTTAACTATTAGCGTATGACTTTAGGAAGTTTTTTACTATCTCAGTTTTCTTATCTGTAGGATAGGTTTCATAATGACATTATTTGTTATATTATACAGGTGAATATATTTAATGTGTTTCAACAGTTCCTGGAATATATAATAACTAATTGATAAGAAATTGTTATTGTTTGCTCCAGCTTGTGGTAGTGATCATAATAATAAAATTAAAATAATGAAGTAAAATATGATTTCATAATATATTGAAATTGAGGAATTTTTCGACAATTAAGAAGATTACTATTTTGGTTTTTCAATGAATATTATCTACAGATACTGTACTAGTGAGTATTAATTACTAGAAAATGTTATCTGGGAAAACTACAGAATCATGCTTAAGAAATCTTAGTCAAAGACTGACAAAGTCTTTGTCGAATATATGGTCTTTGATGAATATATGGTCCTTCCAGAACTATTTGATTTTAATTTTGTTTTCTTTTTTCAGGAGAAGAGTCATGCATTGAACTCAATATGAACTCCAATCAGTACAACATCTCAGCAGGAGAACCATTTGACTTGGAATGCCCTGTGAAATACTGTGCCAACAGACCAAATGTGACTTGGTGCAAGTTTAATGGAACATGTTTAAGTATTGGAAATGGATTTCAGAGACAAATGAGGTGGAAAAATAAGAAGAATGATTCAGTTTTTGTTCTGCATTTTAATCAAGTGCATGCTAGTGACAATGGATCATACTGCTGTTCTGTGCACTTAACATCTGGAGTCATGGAAAGCCGCTCAATAATCCTATATGTGACAGGTGAGTTGTGGACACCAAGACAATATCTTGTTTTTCACATCATTTTTCAAGGAGAAGGAAGACCCAGGTTATTAAATGATTGTGTTAGATACTGAACTCATGTAAAACTTCAGAAGACTGCCACAGTTCACTGATCATGAGGAGAGCTAATATAGTTGTGTGTGTTGGTGTGTGTGAATTGGAGAAGAGTAGAAAAAAAATACAGTAAGAGTTTTTGTACTTTGCTTAGGTGTAATAAAACTTACATGTTTATCCTGAAATATGGAAAAAATTATGGTGAACAGTAGACCAATATGGTAGTTCTGAAAACTGTAAATTGCTTTGGTTACCATGACCATTTTAGCAAAGTTAATTCTTACAGAGAAGAATTAAGCAGAGAATATCTTTCCATTTCTTTGTGTTTTCTGTTTCTTTTAATAATATCTAATAGTTTTCATTGTACTGTTATATTGTTTCTAACAGTTTTGTTTTGTTTTTAGTGGAATCTTTAGCGTTTTTTAAACTGTAAATAACCATATTATGTGCAGGGTTAATTTTAGTTCTTTTGCAATTTGGATTTCTTTTCTTTCTTTTTCTTCCCTAATTTTTCTGGCTATGATTTACAATATTATATTGATAGTATTGGTGAAAGCGCACAGCATGTCTGGTAACTGATCTTAGAGGTAAAACTTCATTGTTTTGCTGTTAGTGTTATGATATCTATGGGTTTGTCATAGATGACCTCTGACATGTATAGGCATATCCCTTCCATCCCTACTTTTTTGAAAGTTTTTATCATAAATAGGTGTTGAATCTCGTCACTTTCCCTGCATCTATACATATGATCGTATGATTTTTAGCATTCCTTTTTATGATGTGGTGAATTCCATTGATTGATTTGCATGTGATGAACGATTGTTGCATCCCTGGAATAAATCCCACCTGATCATGATGCATAATCTTGGTAGTTTTCTTTGTGCGTGTGTGTGTGATGTATCTTTTTGTTTTCAGACTGATGTTGATCTCATAAAATATGTTTGGAAACATTTTCTCTTCCTCCATTTTTCAGAAAAGTTTGAGAAGAATTACCAATTTCCTGATCTGCAACTGGTCTTCAAATTTTTTAATTCTTCTTTATTTAGTCTTTGGTGGTTTATGATTTTAAGAATTTGTCCATTTCTTCTAGATATTCAATTTGTGGGCATAATGATCTTTATTTATAGTAATTCTTAAGATCATTTGTATAATTATAATATCTGTTGTAACTCCTGTTTCTGGGTCTATTCATTAGCATTTTTTGCTTTTCCTACATGAATCTAGCTAGAGATTTTCTATTTTGTTTATCTTCACAAAACCAACTTTTAGTTTCTTTGATCTTTTGTACTATCATTTTTTTTTAAGATTTATTTATTTATTTGTGCATACAGAACTGGGGTACAGGCCAGAGGCTCAGGGGCGGTGAGAGGCTTCACCAGAGACAGAGTGCGGAACAGAACAGGCAGATCGACGAAGTACACTGCTGAGGGGAGCAGTGGGCGGGTCAGGAGAGGTCTGCCGCGCCATGTGGTCACCTCCGGGGCAGGCGGGAATCGAACTCATGCAGATGCGGCTTTATATTCTCAGTGCTGTGCTTTAACCCGCTGCACCACCAGGGAGGGCCAGTGCTATCATTTTTTTTAACTCTACTTTTTATTATTTTCTTTTTGCTAGTGTTTTTTGGTTTGATTTGTTGTTCTTCTAGTTCTTTAAGGTAAAAAGAGAGATTATTTACCTGAGATCTGTCTTACTTGTTGACAGTCTTATATTGTTGTATCCTTCCCTCATAGTGCAGCTTTTACAGTATCATATGGTCTGCTAATTCAATATTCATTTTCATTTATCTCAAGGTATTTTTTAGTTTCTCCTTTGATTTCCTCATCACTCCAATAGTCCTTCTGCATAATGTTGTTTTGTCTCCACACCTGAAGTTTGTTTCCAGCTCTCTCTTTGTGGACGAAACTGAGCTCTGCTCTATTGTAATTAGAGAAACTCTTGATATGGTTTCAGTCTTCAGGATTTATTGACCAAACATGTGATCTACCCTTGAGAATGTTTCGTGTACATTTGAGAAGAATATACGCACAGCTTTGGGCAGGGTGGGGGAAGGTGTTAGTGTTCTATAAATGTCCATCCAAACCCATCTTATCTAATTTCTTTAAAAGTTCCTTGCTTCCTTGTTGAATTTATGTTTGGTTGATCTGCTCATTTGTGTCATTGGAGGGTCTAAGCCCCTGACTTTCATTATGTTGCTGCCAATGTCTACTTTTAGGGGGTATATGAGTTTTCATTTCTCATTTGTAGTAGGCTTTGTCAGGCTTTGCCATGTCTTCAAACTTTCCTTTCTCTTTAGAAGATACCATTTTCTACCTATTTGATCACCTCTTAGAAAACTCTGAGAAGCTGATTGAAGCATCTGGTGTTCTTGTGCTCCTGGGAAGTTTGCACACACACACACACACACAAAAGCATATGGTGACATTTTGTCTGTCATTTTCTGAAGATCTCCCTTGCCTATATTTAATTTTGCCCTCAAAGAGGTACAGAGTCACCCAGTGCTTGTCTGGCTCTCCCTTGCCAGGAGCTGTCTCTTTGTATCTCAGTGTGATGCAGGGGCTCTGGTATTTTTCATTTCTGGCTTTCATTGGCTAATTTTATTTCTGAAGGCATTAGCTTGTTTTTCTGAATTGTATCTCTTTGATTAGATTTTCTGAGTTTTCCTGTAACAATTTGACTTTCATTTTGTCATTTTCTTCTCTTCGATTTTCCTTATTATTTTGATTTTGAACTCCCTGCCCTGATAAGGAGATACAATCTTTCATGTCTTTATGGCTGGATTCTCAAGAGTTGTTCCTATAAGTCTCAAGATACCATGTTTAGGATTTTTTCCTGCCTATTTTGCTACCTTAACTTTACATATTTTAGGCCCTACCTGGTGGCAAACAGGTTCAAGTACAGTGCTATGAAGCTATGTGCAGCCACTGCAGCACCACACCAGTTTGAATACCTAGTCAGGGAGATGACCCACATGGCACAGCAGACCTTTCCTGTCTCCTGGCTGCTCCTCTCAGCAATTTATTTCAGTATATCCTCCTTTACTGCTCCCCACTCTGTCTCTGATGAGTCCTCTCACACCCCGCATCTCTGGCCTGTACCCCAATTCTTGTATGCACAAATAAATAAATCTTTAAAAAAAAAAAAAAAAACAACTACCTAGGGCCCTCCCTGGTGGCGCAGGGGGTTAAAGCACAGCACTAAGAAGCTAAAGCCACTTCCGCATGAGTTCGAATCCCGCCTGCCCCGGAGGTGATCACATGGCATAGCAGACCTCTCCTGACCCGCCCGCTGCTCCCCTCAGCAGTGTACTTAATCGCTCTGCCTGTTCTGCTACCCTCTCTGTCTCTGGTGAATCCTCTCACCCTCCACACCTCTGGCCTGTACCCCAGTTCCATATGAATAAATAAATAAATCTTAAAAAAAAAACAAAACTACCTATTGTAAAAAATTATCTGTAGCAGTAGCTTAGAGATATGAGTGAGCACTTTTACTCTTCCTGCAGGTGGCACTATGGTCTTAACTCATTTTGTTTTACTTGGCCTTTGCTGTCTTCCCTAAGTAGAGGCCTGTTTTTTGCTTCTGTTGACTTAGCAGGGTGGGAGAGGAGCCTGGAGTAGTTCAGCATATTGCAAATGTGGCGGTGATATGGGCTGAATTGTGTCTATGGTATCATCAATGTCCCTCCTCTCTGGGATTCCCCGAGCTACAGTAGTTTATTCACTGTGAGTGTGCTTCAAGCAGTCAGTTTAGTTTTAAGACCTACAGGAAAAGGAGTATAGTCCAAAAGACCTTTTTGTTCTTTACCTTACCAGAGTCCTGGCTTGTGTGATAGCCTGACTTCCATTTGTGGTTCTCCAGTGTGTGCCACCATGTTCGACTTCCATTTGTGGTTCTCCAGTGTGTGCCACCATGTTGCTTTCATCTCCTCACTTCCCCGTCTCAGGGGCAGATCTGCTAGCCGTATCTCCTGTCTCAGATTGCAGCCCCAAGGCATTTTTCTCCACCTATCTCCATGAAGTGACTTTCCTGGACCATGATACCTAAGGGTATCATTTCAGTTTCACTGCAAGTCACGGGACTTTCTCAGTGTAGTCTCCCTCTGGTTAATTGTTAGGTGTTCCTCTCTGCAGTGAAGAGAGGAGATGAATTTCATTTGTGTTCCATCCCTGACGGTGCAGTGGAGAAGCTGGAAAGAGGTCAGGCCTATGATAGCGTGTCTGAAGTCTTTATGCAGTCTCATGCAGTTACTCCTTCCATGGCTATCATTTATGTAAATGACTGCATACTTTTGGTGTGTGTTTTTAAAAATTACTGTGTGAGTATACTTTGGAATTTGCTTTTAAACTCCCTTAAAGTGAATGAATCCATTTAAATCCAATTAAAATCATTTAAGTCACCTTAGCATCCCTAAAGGCAGCCCACTACAGAAATGCACAGCTCACCAGTGCTTGCTGCTAACCTCTACAATGAAGCAAACAGTGTAGAAGAGATTTACAACAGGCTAAGTAACCACTTCTGCGAGTTTGAGATCAAAGTCAATGCTAACTGCATGGGGCCATCCTTGTACTGACTTTAGAATGGAGGTTAAATCTTAGGTATCTTTGGTTGTTAGATATAGGGTCACAGTGTCTGGCACATAGCAAATAATTAATAAATATTTTCTTTGTAAATGTACAAAATTACATAATTTGCCCAAAGTGAAAAAATAACTCTTTAACAACCTGGAGAAGCCTATATTAAGGATATATATGCTATAAACACTTTTTGGAGGAGTACTGCAATATTAATCCACATAATGAGATAAAAGACTGAATTTTTGAAGAACTATGTTTTTTATCATTGGCAAAATAAGTGACAAGAATAATCAAAACTTGCAAAAACAATGCTTTCAGGATGATTTTAATTATACATTAAATACAACAAAATTTGGTACTATTGAATAGTTTGTATGTTATATATCCATATAAAGTATAAGAAAGTAAGAAAGTTAAATTAGTGGCATCAAGTTCTCCTTCCTAGGAAGAGAATTCTTCTTGTGCAATTTAGTCTTTCTTCATAGAATCAATCCAATTCTGTTCCAGAGGGAGGGATTTAGGCAGGATCAGAGACAAGTTTATAAATACCTATGACATCAAAGTATCCCAGGAATATTATGGTCTCTCTGCTATTCCATACTTAGGTTATTCTATGGTCACTATAGATTGTGTACAGTTTTTTTTTCTATTTTTATTTTATTAAAAAGACTGCAAGGTGATGGCATCTTAGAAGTCTGTGGCTGGTTCCTCTTGCAAGGTCACTGAGGCAGCCAGCAGCCTGTATTAGAGCAGTTTTTGGAGACAGAATTCTGGCATCTGACCTGACTAGATGAGCCTGACCAGTTTAACTTTCTTTTTTTTTAAATATTTATTTATTTGTGCATACAGAACTGGGGTACAGGCCAGAACTTCAGGGGCGAAAGACGGCATCACTAGAGACAGAGTGAGCAGAACAGGCAGATCGACGAAGTACACTGCTGAGGGGAGCAGTGGGCGGTCAGGAGAGGTCTGCC